CCCCAGGGCTGTCCAGGCAGGAGGCAGCCCTGATTTGCGCAGTAAGACCTCACGGTACGTGTCTGTACCCTTCATTGCCTTCTCAGATCCTGGGCAAGGAGAGAGGACCGCAGTCACAGCCAGGGTAATAAATACTGAACGGGTAGGTGTGTGACCGGCGGGCTGGACCGGGGGCTTTGTGACCCCACATCCTATGTCGTGCGTAACCTGAAAACATCCGAGGGGAAGCGAAATGCCACTGATTCCCGTGCCTGTGCCTTCTCGTTGCAGCGGTTTCAGTTGTAAAAGGCCGCTCTAGCCCTGGTCTCTGGAGGCAGGGCAGGGCTGGGCAGGAAGCTCTCCCTACGTTGAAGGGGAGTCCATCGTGGAGAGGATCCGTACGACTTCCGCTCGCTGAGTGGGTGAGATGTGCTGGGTCATGTGGACGATGGAATCCATGGCGACCTCTGGATTGGCCTGTACCAAGCTGGAGGGAAGATTGGGGACAGTGAAGACAGGGGAGAGGCAGCAGTGCCCAGATCTGGGCAGCTTCACAACCGCCCCAGAAACCCCCCCAGGCTCCCCTGCAGACACTTCGGTCCCTGCCCCACTGGTTTGTTTTCCTACACGAAAGCGTCCCCAGCAGCAAGGTAGGTACCAGATGAACCCGAAACGTTTTCCTGCATCAGAAAGTGAGGAAGCACCTCAGAAAAACAAAACCCAAAACCGATGGAGCACGTCACAAAGACAGTGGAGCCAGCATGACAGTGCTCCCGCTGGCTAAATTTGGGACATTTGGGCATCAAAATAATGAATTACAAATCATTGGAAAAAACAGACATTCACTGTCTACACCAACAACGTATAAACTATAAGCGGGGGAGGAGGGCGGGCTTCTGCTTGCAGTAGACAGGTGACTGTGGAGGTCGTGCTGGAGTTGGAACGTTGTCATCCTGCAACCGCACCATCAAGACTGGATCAGGCAAGACTCAGCCCTGGACGCTAAATCTGAGCGGAACTTCTGACGAGGACCAGGAATCTGCATGGCCTCAAAGCGCCTCCACAGACTTTTTAGGGCCAAGGGGGAAAGTCAGGAATCACACAGTGGAGAAGGTGAGTAACAGCGTGATCAGGAGGGGCAGATGACGTGTGTCTCCGGCAGCGGTACCCTGTGAAGGTCATGTCATCACAAACGTACTAGTCTGCGTGCGAATGCATCGCCTGAATCTCATCATGGGGAGACGTCATACGAACTGACAACAGACCATGGTCAACAAATGGTGATTTAGATAAAAGGTATCAATGTTCAGCTTGCAAAAATTAACCGTTTTACTGTGGTTATGTAAGAGTATATCCCTATTAAGCAAAGGTACACGTAAGTATTTGGGGGTAAAGGGCCATGACAGGCTGGGACGTGTGTAACATCCCCTTAAGTGGGTCAGAAAAAAATCTATAGATAGGGAAGAGCACACACACAAACGACGCAGCAAATGGGGTTAAATGTAAACCCCAGGCATCTCTGGGTACAGATTTGTTCTCTGTATCGTTTTAAGTTCTGCAGTTTTTCTGTAAGTGAAATGTTTCCAAATAGAAAGTTTAAAAAAAAGCTGCCAGCAGCATCCACCACCCGGCCTATGGAGAAGACGGAAGACGCTAAACGCAGTTAATTCTCAGCTCGGGGAGAGGAGGAGGTGGTTTCCCAGGAAACTACGGTGCAGTCAGCATGTTTGGCGCTGACAGCTGGGCACAGTGAACTAAGCCACCATGGAGCTGAGGTTACTGAGTGCCCCTGGGGACCAGCCGCTGAGGGACGTGTGCTTCAGGGCTCTGTTCTTATCTGTGGGTCAACCACAGCATCTCAAACGGAGGGCGACCCCCAAAGACCTGAAGGCATCGTCATCTCACCATGTGTTCTTAAGCCTCCCACCTCGAGAAGCGGGTCCCACCTCCCCGGAGGAGCCCGGCGCCCCGCCCCGCCCCGCGGTCTCACCTGCGGATCTGCTTGAGGACGTAGTCCCTGCTGATGTACTTGATGTTCTCCTCTATCACTGAGCGAACCCCGTCTTCCTCCATCAGCTGCTTCTCCAGCCACTCCACTAGATCCTTGTTATTGTCCCAGACATAGGCCTGCAGACAGATGGCGCGGGTCAGACACCCCGGACACCCTAATTCGTCAGCATCTGGAGAGTTCGTCGCAAACAGAGGCTTTGCTCGGCGTAAAAAGGTTCGCGGGTCGCCATTACTGCTGGCTTTGAAGGAGGAAGAGGAGACAGGCCTCGAGCCAGGAGCCGTCCTCATCCTCCCTGTCCTGCTTCTGAGTAAGGCGCACACTCGAAGCATCCACCCGGGCCGCCCTGGGGCATCAGTGCTCGCCCCGACGCCGGTCCTGGCCCACAGAGGCTAGCGGGGTTTAGTCAGCTGACCGATTGCTCAGGAAAGTGCTGATTTGAGAGGGAAAGGCTGTTTACTTAGTGTTTCTAAAATGAAATGTGTGCTGCTTTGAGGAACTGAGACACGATATCTAAATGGGAGTCACCAGTCCCAGCAGGCGCAGCGGACGAGCAGCCTGGTCGGGGCGGTCTCCTGCTGCAGAGCCTGAGGCCTTCCGACGAGGCCAGAGGGGCACGGAGTTGAGGGAAGTCCTGGAGCCAGGGGAGAGCCACCAGGTCAGAAACCTAGACCCCAGTTCGCTTTCTGTTAGTTTTCAAAAGGGTCAAGCCGTCCATCACTGTGAGAGTCTCAACAAACCACCTCTCACCTCCTTTTTTCAAGATCATTTAGCTGAGCATTTCCCAGGTAGTTGACTCCATGATAATTCCGGAGTGTGTTAGAAACCTAATAGCCTTCTCCTGGCTCTCTTCTCCTCTCATTTTCTTTACAAATCATTTAGGAATCGTTTTGTTAATGGTTTCCGGAAAACCAAGTACCGCCATTAGGGCTCATTCATATTTATGTCATTTTGTTTGGGTAATTAAACACAAAGCTCGTCATTTAAAGGTGCGCTATCCTCCTCTGTTATCACTAACTGAGTCAAAGTCAGAATGACAATGAGGTTGGCGCTGTAATTTAATAGGTGGGTGCGTTGGGGAGCTCTCAGGAGGTGGCTCAGGAAACCTAGATGCTCGGCTCAGGCTCCAGGGCCTGCAAAGCGCGGTGGAAGGTCCTCACCACACCCTGCAAGGGGCGGTGGGCCGTCTCCTAAGGGCCTATTTCGGCCTTTAAGGATGGTTTCCTTTCCGACTCTCACGTTCCCATCTCTAACCGGACTGGCGAGTTCGCTGTGGCTGGTGACTCATTACGTGTCATGTAACTGACGTCCCCATTTCTAACAGTTCTTAAGGAGTCCTTCACAGTTGAAGGATTAAGAAGCCCCAGGATTAAGGATAAGCAATGCGCCTTTTCTCCAGTTCCTTTTCTGGTCCCAAATTTGCCCATCTCTGTTTGTGATCACGAATAAAAAGTTGAGCAATCCCAGTCATGGTGGTGGGGCCAAGTGCGGACCTGAGTGAGCCTGCCCACCTCTCTGTGCCTGGGGCAGGGCTGTTAGCATCTCTGAGGCTGAACGGCAGAGAAGCGTTTTGTTCTGAGAAAAAGGAGGTACCACATCAGTCTCCACCGACCCGGGGTGGTGGCGGCATTTTGCCTGCAGTGTGGTTTCTTACCTCCCGCGCGCTGGCTCCTGCACCCCCCACGTGGAGGGACGCGTGGACCCCTAACCACTGTACCTGAACACCAATATTTCCATCTCCAACACTGGTGATTTAGACTTCCCTACCTGCCCTGACTTATGAGGACTTGGTGGGAGGAAAAAAATAAAACAATGCATGCTTCCTGGGTTTCAGAATAGAAAAAACCCTAGATTTACCCAAGAATCCCAAAGCCTTTAGTTTAGGAGAATATTTAATACTCTTATTAATCATTTTTAATCCGTTTGCTTTTAATTAAGAAACAGCATGATGCTTTCCTATCAACATATGCCAGGGAGCAGATTAATTGTGGCTTAAGATAACTCTCCTGATTGGTGTAATGTATTAGCTCACGAGATGCCTGCTTCTAACGAGGCTCAGACACCGCACTGGAAAGCCAGCTACCCTCCAGAGAAAACTCTTCTGCCTTCCCCTCCTGCAGCCGCAGAATATGCTAGGTGTTTAAACATTAAAAACGTTTCCAGACAGAATTAAAGCAACACATTCCAAGTTTTTGAAAATACAGGTCCCTCATATGAAAGATTTGCACTCGAAATACAACCAGATGACAACCACCAAGTCAAACGCTGATCAAGTTTCTCTTTTTAGGTGTTAAATGGAGGTGCTGGAGACTGAGCCCAGGACCTCGTGCATAACTAAGCAGGAGCTCTGCCGCTGAGCTGTGGGTACAGCTCCCAGCAGGCTTGGATCACAGCACAGAGCACGTGAAGGCAAAGGGGTCTCAGCCCTTGTCAACATCGCTTTTAGCAAGAGTGAGCAAATGCTGGCACCCGCAGAGCCCAGGCTTCTGGAACAGACCTGGGAGGGTCTGGGGCTCGGGGGTCCACAGTTCCTCGTCTGCCCTCTGGGAACACAGCTGCAGACTCATCGCTCCAGCCATCCAGAAGGACGGGCCAACCCTATGCTGTTACTTCCCTCCGTAAAATGATCAACCTGTGGCTGATTCGTCCCACTGTGGATCTGTGGCATGTGTGAAAGGCTGGCTGCTAACTTCACGACAGGCCTGGGCCCACATGTCACCTGTCTGCTCTCATCTCAATCAGAACATTTTAATACCAACAAAATATCAATGATTAAACCTCACAACAATGGCCTTACAATAAATGTTCAGCAGACACTTTATCCCTCTCTGCATCTGTGGGTAAGTATCTCTGGCACTACTCAGCTCACTAATTGTATGTAGTAATTAGTCTATCTTACAAAATCTAAATGACCCGTTTGGAAAGTTTCATTTCTAACATATTGGATTGCTGTTAGCCCTCCTTGCTCAGTGGTACAGCAGGACCTGGGTGTGTGACCAGGGCACAGTCTGATGGATGTGAGCCCTGATTACCATGCCCTGTAGATAACTCACCTCATGAGCTGCCTGGAGACGCCTCAGCAGAGTGATTGCCTCTGAGGCTCTGGGGTACAACAGCAAGGAGCCGTGGGGCTGGACCCCATCTCCTGAGAGCCACTCCAGCCTCAGCCCCCGGCCCCCACAGGGCCAAGCAATTCTTCCCAGGTTCTGCCTCACCTCCTCCCTCCTTGGCCCCACATCAAACATCTGGTGCATGAGACTTGTCCGTGGGCAGCTTGGGGACAGTGGAAATCAAACGACCCTATCAGTTGTGCTTCTTTCTCTCCCATCCTCACCGGGGCCTCCAATGACCACTCATCTCATTTGGAAGTCCAGAGTAAGGGCGAACAGGGAGCTACCTGGACAGCCAGAAGGTATTGTGGCATCCTAGACTGTGGACAAACAGAGCACGCCAAATCGAAGAACACTGACTGAGAAGCCACCGGGCACGTGGCTCCCACCAAGACCACTCTCAGTTACGCTCTTAACTCTCAGGCCACCTTCTAACACACTGTGCTGAGGGAGGAGGAGGAGGAAGCTGGCGTATTTCAAGTGTCAGCTCAGTGCCAGACGTGATGCTCAACACTCACTATGTCATTTAAAACGCACTGAGCCTTGTGAAATAAACATCATCCCTATTTTACACACGAGGAATGGGAGGCTTAAGTATGTCCAAGCCAGTAAATGGCAACGCTGGGATCCAAAAAGTGTGCGATTCCAAAGACCACATTCTTCTCCATGCTCCACACACAGTTCTCATCTCAATTTCTACCACTGGGACCTGGGGGGTAAAAATCAGACTGGAAAACCACACACCTAAAGCTCTGGATCTGGGAATCGAGAAAGGAAATGTGGCCATGAAACAGATGTGTGCCTCGTCCTTACAACCCAGTGCAACTCTCCGCTCTCGCTGCTTTCTTGGAGAGCAGTGAGGATGCCCTCTCCTGCCTGCAGGGAAACCATGAAACCTACTTGTTCCCACAACAGGACTGTCCCTGTGGATTCCAACAGAATCCCATAACTCACGGTAACAAATTCATCTACGGGACACAAGAGAATCACACTGCTCAGTTACGTAACATCACACTGTCTTCAAATCTTCTGTTCCAGAATCTTTTTCAAGATTAAGAGTTTTAAGAAATTCTCTATGAAAACACACACACACACACACACACACACACACACACACACACAGCACGGCTAATAGATGCCCATCATGAAGGGCCTTGCCCTGCCAGTAACCACAGGAAGGATCAGAGGGCCACTTCTTGGGGCAAAGCTGGGGTCTAGACCAAGCAGTCTTTGCCCTGGAGAGACACAGTGCACAGTATCCATCCCTGTTTGAAGAACTGAGAAAAGCTGACGGTTTTGAGGTTTTCAGCCCTTCCCAACACCGAGCAGACCCCCACGCCGGCCCCTCAGAGGCAGCACACGGCTTTCGAACACTCCCACGCTTTCTTCTTTCAAGGGCGCCGCAGATTTCATCACCCGCCCACAGGAAAACTGGGTTCTGCTGAGCCCACAGAATCTGGAAGGTTTCCGCATCGTGGGATAACCTGCCCTTCCCTTTCTCCTGTGCTCCTGGACTGAGCGCTCGGGAACGCTCCCTCCTGTGGACGGCGGCAGGGGAGACAGCTCAGTTCTTGGACACACCTGGGTCCTCAGGCCTCTTCTCCTGAGCTGTGGGGCCGGGCTGTCTCCTGCACTGGATTTCCGGCCCGGAGTCTGTGCACACAGACAACTGCTCTCTCTGTGGCTAAGAGATGGCGATGACACACTGTCTCTCCAGACACTGTCCCCAGGGGGCAGGACGCGAAGGAGCGACCGAAGAGCTGTATGCACTGGCTCCCTCCTCATCCCCGTGCCCACTGAGGCTGCGCACGTCCATTAGTGACTAATGTGCAAGGAGGGCGGCGCGGGCCTCTCCTGGCCACACGCGCACACTCCATTTACCTAGCTGGCCGCTCCTAACTGGAGAACAACCTCTTATTTTACACTTGTGTGACTTTCAATGCCAACTTCCACTAGAAGCTGCCAGTGGCCACTGACAAAATTGTCCCACTCAATTATGATGCCACAGACTGACCTTAACCTGAACCAGATGTTGCAGAAGGCTGTGCTCCCTCGCTGCACATCTGAAATATTTATCCAAAGCAGCTCTCCGGTCATAAAGAAATGGGTAGGTTTAAAACAGGTGAATCTTAGAAGCATCCGACTCACTGACTTTAAAACTGACGGCAAACCTGGGAGTTCCTTCTTGCGAACAGTCAGCAGAGCCTTCAGACAGTGCTTCCCTGGGGAGGCTGGAGCACCCCCGTCCAGCCTCCATCAATTCTCTGGCCCAGCAGTCACCAGATGTTTTTGATCACACAGCTCACAGGGAACGAGACAAGTATATTTCCAGCACATACTACCGATATTCTGATGAAACGTATCTATGAGGTGTATGACTTACTTTTAATCCAGATGCTAACTACTAATAAAGGTTGCTTTCTTTCTTTTTCTTAGTAAAATAAATAGAAATAAAAGTTCCAACTTTTTCTTCCCATCCTGCCGCAGACTGTCTTGTGCAGAAGCAAATGTTGGTGCCTCGCTGTCCTGGCCTCAGAGCCCTCCATCCCCGGCCCTGGGGCACATGGGCACGAGACTACCCTGAGGAGATGCCGAATTCGTAATTCCCTGCGGGGTGGGGGGATGTCTGCTTTCAGCTGGGATTTGAAGTCAGGGCACCTGCAGCTGGATCACTGCCACCTCCTGGGAGGCCTTTCGCTCCTGCCCTCAGCTCCCCCTCCACATGGCCCTAGAGCAATCTTCCTACAACACAAGTCACAGCACGGCTCTCTGCTGCTTCAAGTTCTCAGTGGCTTCCCACAGACAAAGAGGGCAGACCAAGTCCGAACTCCTCCGCAGGCTTCCAAGGCCCCGCCCTCCTGGCCATCCTGGAGGGCCGGCGCTGCCTCGGGTGCACGGTGATCTTGCTATCAGGCCTCGGAACGAGCTGTTCCTTCTGCCTGGAACATTCCTCCTGTCTCCCAATCTAACCTTTCCCTCTGGTTCACCCCTGCTTTGTTCTCAAGTCTTTGAGACGTTACTTCTAGAAGTCTTCCCAGACTCTGCTCTCCCTCCCCACAGAGTGGCTCAGGCGCCCCTGCTCTGTGCTCTGCGACGTCCTGGGTTTGCTGTGTCTGACATCGGCCTCGTTGCACGTGACCTCTTGACAAATGTCTCCCCCTTGAGGGTGAGCTCTGAGGGGACAGGAGCAACTCCTGCCCCTCTCAAGGCCACATCACCCAGGCCTGGGCAGTGACTGGCATAAAGTAAGTATTCAAAACGGTTTGCTGGGTGACTGAGCTGCAAAAAGCACCCTACCACCTCGTCTGACGAGCCCTCACGACATCTTACTGCTGGCAGGGGACACAGGTCAGGCCCACATGCTTCCCTCCCCTCCCGGGGCCCCGGGATTCTTAAGACATCAAGCCTTGCAGGGCGGGGTGGGGGTGGGGGTGAGGAGCAGAGCACAAAGGCTCCTCCGGCGCCCACCTACCTTCACTGTCCCTTCCACCTCCACGAACCAGCGCCTCAGCATGGCCTGGATTTGGCCATCGGTCAGCTCGGGGTTGGCATTGTGGATTTTCTTCTTGACCAGGTCCTCCAGCAAGAGACGCCTCAGCCGCCAGTAGAAGAAGGTACGGGAGGTTTTCCAATCCAGGATGTCCTACACACAGAAAAGAATCAGCTTTGTCGCCCCGGCCCAGCACCTAGTCCAGAGCAAACTCCACGGGCACAAAACCCCACTCCAGTGAGCCCCTCGGAGATGCAAGAGCTGGTCACGAGCTCCCAGCACCTGCAGGGGTCTCCCCAGTTCAGAGCTGCAGCCCCCACGCCCTGCAGGCCGCAGCACTGCACAGGGACGGGCCTAATGCTAGGCCCACACACGGCCGAGGTGATCTGGGGTCGGGGCTGTGAATTCTCAGATAACCAGAAAGTGAGGGATTGGTTTTGGGCGGATGGCTCAGACAACTTGCACGCAGATCAAATGTGAACTGGCTGCTGCTGGAACCTTGACATTGAAATAATCCACACCCTGAGGACCACCTGGGCAGCTGTCCCCAGTGGAGCCCAGGGGACTCGGTTTCCCACCAATAAAATGGAGCTTGCCTCCCAGGGAGTCCCTGCTACCGAAATCATAAACTGTTCTAGGATGATAATGGATACAGAAAAACAGGAAAGTCTCTCCAAAAGACTTGAACATGATCTGATCCACACATGCTGTTTTAATGCAGCCGTAACCGCTCGCTGCGTGTGTGCCCATGTGCACAAGGCAGACACACGCCGGTCGCGGGTCTCTGACAAGTCAGGAGCAGTGGCAACCCCTGTACTTACGTTAATGACACCCTTCTCCTGCAGCCGGCCTGGTGTGTCGTGTAAGTCAGCGAACTGCACGGCTACCTGGTGGTAAATGGGAATGAGGAATTCCTCCCGCTCCTTCAGCTTGCTCTCCAGCTCCTTCCGCTCGGCCGCGCTCAGCTCTGGGGTGCCTGCAATGAAAGAAACCACCATGTTCGGGGGAGGCCAGGGATCTCTGTGGCCTGGCTCTCTGATGCCTTCACCACCTCTCAGCTAAGTAACTGGACCCTGCCGGATGCTAGACCTGTCCTTACCTTGTCCACATGTCCTCCTTTCCCTGGAGGTGACAACTCTGAAAGTAACCAAGGGGGGCCCTCTTCCCAGGCTGCTTCCCGAGCAGGTGCAAACCACCGCCTGGAGGCCCGGGCCTCTCATCATCTCACTGACCAACAGCAGACCCCTCGTCCCCATGGAGGACCCCAGGCCACGCCCTGCTGGCCAGCACTAGAGCAGCTGCACTACTCCAAGTGTGGGACACGCTGAGGGAGATCCTCTATGCCTCTGAACACGACCAGCAGCCCTTCTTTCCCTGCGTCCACACTAGCCACCTGCCCAACTTGGTAAGGACCCAGAGACTCCTCAAGTTGCAAGCGGCTTTACTTCACGGCTTTGATCTCAGGCTGGAATACTCCTAACTGGATGTCAGTAGAATCCAACCCGATTAGAGCCAGAAGCACGTGGCTCACGCCAGCTCGGCGGGTTAACCAGCCGCCTAGCCTCCTGCCTGCGCTGCTAATGCCAGAGCCAAGCCCTGACCACAGCGACAAAGACATCCTAGTTCCTGGGCTAAAAGAAGAGGAGGAGGGAAAAAGAAAGGCAGTCCACAAATCCCATCTGGACCACCAAGCTTACAAGCACGTGGTCCCCTCACTCAACAGATAGAAGACTCCGGAGCGCATTATAACAAGGAGCCCCTGCCTGACCCCCAGTCAACAGAGTCCCCGCAGAGGCGCTGCCACACCGAGCTTTTCTTCCTAATTACTCCCAGAATAGCACCTGCAATCGACACCGAAAATTCAGGAAGGAGTAAGCTGAGCTGAAGGAGCAGTAGGTGACAGCCCCTGGTGTTGGGGACAAGCTGAGGTGCTCTGTCACCAAGGATGACAAATAAATACACGCCCACAGGTGACGGGATGCAGAAGAGGAAGGTCTGTTTCAGGCCCGTCTGTCGGGAACGGGCCGTGCTTTTTATGCGTCCATGAATCACACGCCACAAACAGCCTTGGGCTGCGGAGTGAGCCGTAAGTATTACACATAAACACATGTTCATAGAGCAGGGATGTAACTCCAGTACCTAGTTTCATTTTTATGAGGGTTTTGGACCCAACTCCACTTTTTGTTTTTTTTAAACCCATCACTACTTTAAAATTGTGATGAAGACTGGGGAAGGCTATCTTTTTTGGGCTCTCTTGTAGAGGGCCATCACTGACCTACCACTGGGCGCCCCTGACACCTCAGCAGCCTTCCTTCCAAACCAGGGGAACAGCATGACGACCGCGGGCCCCACTGTGGGACGAGAGGGAGGCCCCCCACTCCAGCTGGATCTGCCCAGAGAGTTCCTGGGAGGAGGGCTGGCTGGTTTCTTCTGACATGAGACTGTCTCGGGTAAAACACCCCTGAGAGGGAAGCAAACATTTTTCCACCTCCAGTAAAAAGAAACAAGACTCCTTGGAGAAATGGTTGATTCCAGGGCTGAGGCAGCAAAGAGCTAAGATGAACCGGAACATTTTGTCACAAAAAGCAAGGAAACACTCAAAAAATGATTGGGACACGTTGTAAGGACACAGGAGCCAGTCTGAAGGTGTTCCAACTGGCTAAATCTGGGACAATTTGAGTACCAGATAGAATATTTATAGAATAAAATAGGAACCTGTGAGTCCATCCTGACATAAATGATTAAACGAGGGAGAAGGGCGAGCGCTCCTACCCCCCAGACTAACAGCTAATAGACACAGAAGGAAAGATGGAATTAGAAAGCCACCATTACACAGCCATCACAGTGACTGATCTGCCAAGAGTTATCAATAAAACTAGTGAGTGAAAGTTTGATAAGGAACAGGACAGTCACATGGTCCCATGCACATCACTTCCTGGGTACAAAGGGGGAAGACAGCAGCTTGATTAACCTAGTGAACAAGACCTTAAAGCGTAATCAGAGTTAACCAGCACCAAGAACAGGCCATGCTGACACCATGTGTCCCCGACATGATGTCCTGGCAAGGCTGTAACATCACGCCTGCCATATTCCTGCCAAAAATGCGTAATCTGAATCTAACCACGGGGAAACAGAACACAAACCCAAACTGAGAAACATG